CGGATGCGGAAATGTCCTTTCAATGTACGCAGACTTCTGCACTTGAATGAAGATCCAGTGAGAAAGTAAAGCAAGTTTCCGTAACCAGTCCACACCTGGGTATGAAGAATTCAAACTCATTGCCGGAATTTCTCCACTCAGTCCGGATTAACAAAAATAGCCCAGCGGGTAAATTTAGCTCATTGTAGACGTATATTTCTTCCTTTAGAACAATTCGCCAATATACCAAGCATCATGCACTCGCCCCGTGATGGCCCAACCAACCTCTGTCATCTTCTTCCTGGCGTATTACCTCCTTGGATATAAATAAGTGTTCTCAAGTACCAAGATTACATTAATAAGGTGGAAATACTACAGGAATTCATTTCATCGATCATTCTTGGTAGCCCTCTGCAGGCGTTTTCGAACTTTCTGTTGTTCCATTTCCAGTCAGCGATAGATGATTCCCTTGATTTGTCATAAATTTGTTTGAGGAGACTGAACGGGTGTTATAAAAATCTTGAAAAGTTGTAGCGAAAAATATTTAAAAGAATTCTAATTCCAAGCCTGTAGGATTCCAGATCCAGAAAAAAATGAACAAAATGTTTGAAAGAAAAATTGTGGATGCTAGAGGAAAGCGCATTCTTTCGGGACCCAGAAGGTCGATGACTGAGGCAAATGAAGTGGCATCATCACTACACCAATGCTCCAACTCTTTGATGGCAGCTGTTTTTACTGCAACCATCGTAGTATGATCGTAATACTTACTGTTCACGCCTACGTGCTCATGTGCCCTGTTTTTGTGCTCCGTGCGAAGCAAATACGGCCCGAGTCAAGGGCTTCTTGCTGTGCACACAATGCACCCAAAGTAGTTTCTAAAATGTTTCAAAAAACAAACAAACGGCAATGTTGAATCACTTCGCATGTAAGCGACATTAGTGGATACTTTGATAAGATGCGCTTCAAAACCTTGGCATCTGGAATATTAGCAGTGCACGAAGGACAAAGCACCGAAACCGGTGGTATGATTCAGGACTACTGCACTAGGCCAACTGAATTATCCTCAAAACCGATCCAGGCAAACACAGGGCTTGACCAAGTGAAAACAAATGCGAAAATAGGTGTATATTGTAAACTAGATGGTGCAGCCCAGAAACAGAGACAAATTCTAAAACAGAGATTTTATAAACACCAATAAACAATTCTGCATGAAAGGACAGCCTATAAAAATAGGTGCGGAAAAAAGTTAAATATCCGTTAACGTCAGGATGTAAAAACGTAAAAACATAACGGGTCCTCCGTACGAAAGGAACTGTCGTACCTCTGAATCCCTCCACCACTCCTGTTATACCAATCCTTGGCATTTTTGGCTAAAATCCACGCTTAATGGAACAGTCTGTTCCCCAATTGCGCCACTCAGTAAGGTCCAGGAATCCGTGGAGGCAAAGCCCTGCGTTCAAATGGAACAGTTAGAGTAAGCTAAATATCCCTCGCCCCAAAAAAGGCACACAGTGCATCTAATCAGGTCTGAAACCGTCGGACGTTGGCAAAATCACCCTCTTCTGACTGGAACCTTTATGGCATTTCTGTGGTTTTCGGATCGGGAAACCAGTGTCGTGACATAACCGGGATGTTAACGAGGTAATTTGGCATTTGTGTATCAATACGAACACGTCACAACCGTAATATTTTGTACGCCACCTCACAAGCAACACATGAAAGACGGATATTGGTCGAAGACACCGCCACCAAGACTTTCGTCAATTTGGTGGCTGATCGGACTGAACTGTTGAACATCACTAGGTTTGTTTCTTGTCACAGTAAAAGCCAACAACAAAAAGATGACTGATGGAAGGGGCGACTTTGTGTGAATGGGTTACAGCTGGGTGCGCTAGTTTCCGTAGGCCCAACTACCATCAAGGTTCATTTAATTGCTGAGATTTTTTTCCTGCTACGAAACTTCCGCAGCTGCCGCAGCAAACCTGGTTTCATTCCAAGATAGACCTACGTCTCACTGCACCTCTGCTGCACGCAGCATCAACCGGGAGCTTTCACAAGAGCTTATCGATTCTTCGGGAAGAAAAAATATATCAGTTTCTCCTACACAACGGTCATACCGGATAAAGGTGGGTTCACTTTTCGTACCATCCGACGAGCAGTTAGTAATACAGCCCTACGTGTCTGTGAACGTTTACAAAAGGAGATTGCTGATAGGCTTTATAGGTGCGAAGGAAAAACGGACAGGTCCGTAAGTGATTTAAAATGGGCTTTCCTCTTGCCATGAATAGCGGTTATCCTGTATGAAACGGCTTCCAGAGACCGTAATAGTAATTTTCCTTCCAGTCTCAAAGTATTATTGACGGGCATTGGTGAGGCTGTCGAATGTACAGATAATTAGGGCACATCTGGAACCTGTTGCCTGATCAATTATGAATCATTCGCATAGAGGTTTGATCCAAGGACTTATGAACGCATTCATCTACTTAGTGACGAAAACAGCCAATTGCTGTTTTCGCCCAACCAGCCTTACTATATACGATTGTAACTGACGAGCATCGAGTTTCAGTACGAACAAATTTAGGGGCACTGACTATCACCTGAAGTGAAAGAAATCTTGTTTACAATCTTTGCTTGCTTTTCCCGGGTCCACGGATTGATACACAGGATCGAGGCTATTGCTCAAGTTTCCCGGGTCGGTTTTGTTCTTGTCGGTCAGTGGCTGTCGTTCACCTGAAAGGCACAAGTGAATAAAGGGTGTAGCACCGCTCTTTATGTTCTCAGCGCGGGGCAGTATGCTCGCCAGCGCATGGATTTGCACAGATAAATGTCTAATAGTGCTTTAAACTGGGTTCTAGAAGGAGCGTGGACAACCGTCGGAGGAATGTCATTCCACGCACTTACTACCTGAAATGAGAAAAAAATTTGTCCAACGAATGTGTGTGCTCTGAGCTTGAAAATTTTCTTAATATGTCCCCGCCGTGTGTTTGCTGGGTCAACGGTGAAAACTTGTTTGTCAAGCTTTGCCCAAACAGGGCATAAGTAAGAATTGGGTCCCGTCGGAGGCTACGGTATTCAAGGGGAAATGGAACAAGCATCGCGAGACGCGTTTTGTAGTCCACGGATTTGAGGCCGGCAACCATTCTCGTAGCACTAAGCTGGACACGCTCAACGGGGGTGACGTCTTTCGTGCATCCTGGGTAGACAACTTGGATGGCGTGTTTGGAAGTCCATGCGAGGGATACGGAAGAAGGTGCAACGGATCATCCGTAAAATGGCGAGTGCCTTTTGGGCCGATTTCTCGTGGTGCAGTGAAAGGGATAAGTTTGAGGAGACCCAGATGCCCAAATCCTTTTTGGCATCTATCCTCATGATGTTTTATGGTCCCTTTCCACCATGCATAACAAAGGCATTCGCTGAATACCCTCCAAACGACATATGGACGCACTTTTCGTCATTCAGTGGATGGTGCCAGTCCAACGACCACTGCTTGGCAGCGTCCGCGTCCATTTGGTGGGCACTGGCACTGGAACTCCAGGATTTCAAGTCGTCTGCAAAAAGTAGACTGGACTCGCAGGAACGCCTGGGAGGTCGTTGACGTAGATCAGAAACGGGAGTGGTCCCAAGATGGAGCCTTGAGGAACTCCAATGGAGACCGGCGCTGGAGAAGAGTAGATCGAGCCTTTTCTCACTCGGAATGATCTATCTGATAGGAACGCCTTGATCCAGCAAAGGATTTCCCTTTGACTCCCGTAAGACTAGAGTTTGTGGAGCAGCGGGACGTGTGGAACCCTAGCAAATACTTTTGAGAAGTCGAAAAATATGGCATCAAATATAAGTCCTTCGTCCTTGGCTTGGGTTAAGCTGTTCATATACACGAACATGTTTGTCACGGAAGAACGGTTTGGGAGAAATCCGTGTTGAGCTGGAGATATCAGGTTGCTGGAAGTAATGTGATCTAGGGTAGCTCGCTTCAGAATGCGTTCCATCACCTTGCACGGCACGCTAATGAGGCTTATAGGCCTATAGCTGCCAGGAGATAGCCGGTCACCAGTTTTGTAGATTGGCGTGACAGTCGCTTCTTTCCAAGCAGAGTTAAGGCGGCCTTCGTCAAGCGACTGGCGAAACACCAGGTGTAAACGATTTGCCAGTGTGGAGGACGTTTCCTTCAGGATCCTTGGATGGACCTCGTCGGGCCCCACTGCGCAGAGTGGGTTGATCTTTCGCAAGAGTTGACGAATGTCCACAGCACATGACGCTGCTACAAAACTCATTCGTGCTGGTCCAAGGGAAACAATTAGAAAGCAGAGCTTTCCGCCAGTATTGGTGTGGTTGAATAAAACAAAACGATTCGGATCAGTTGGCGTTCCACATTCCAAAGGACCCGGAATTGCAAGATGAGGTGCGGGCAAATAAAGAGACTTTGATGCCCTCTAAATACATTTATCTCCCTAGTTCAAAACCCTCGATTGTTACTGGTATTCTGCACAGATCCCGTATAGGTTCTGTACTCGAGTGCGGACGCATGCTAACTGGGAGATGTGTTTCATAAGCAACGGAGCTGAGGTCAGCAGCATCTTCGTAGCAGCCCGTTGAACAAGCTAAATGAGGGTTTATTCGTTTTTGTGACCCGATCGGACATACTTGAGAAGCGGTCTGATTCGGGTCCCATAGGGTATCAGGAAGTCTATACAAGACCAATACGGAGGAATCGACCATAGAACGACGAACTCCAACTGAGCCGATTTTTCATAGTCCTTCGCTCTACCGCGTCGACTTCAATTTCGAGGTCACTGGCGTTGATACTCCAGGACTTCAGGTTGAGTGAACGAATTTTTATGTGGAAAGGCAGTCGGAGCTCAGGCTTGCCCACCAGTGAAATTCTTCTCGCCGATATCTAGCATGGGCCGACCGTTTTGACACATTTGGGCAGAGCAATATTGAACTGTAACTCCAGGGTTGGGTTGTTTAAAGCGGTCAAGGCCACATTGCTCTCCGCGGAGCGCGCTAGTTCACGAAAAGGCATGGCTCCTAAACCAGCCCCGAAGAAAGCCGAAAAGCCTGCCAAGGCTTCGAAGGTTACGAAGAAAGCTGGCGATAACAAGTCCAAAGCACTAAAATCCAAGGTGCCACAGAAGAACATGAAGGCACTGAAGGGTGTGAAGGGCGGAAAAATTGTGAAAAGCAAGTCGAAGAGTAAGTTGCAATCTGGATGACTAAAAGGAATAGAACTGGATAAGGTTCAAAAGGCCTTGAAGGTCCAGCGTGCCTTAACTCTCGGTGCGCATACCAAGAGCAAGAAGCGGGTGATGAAGACGCCTCGATTCCGGCGTCCGAAGACGTACAAACCTCCTCGCTGTCCAAAAGATCGCCGTTTTCTCATCCCAAAACGCAATAAGTACGTCCACATTTTTGTTGAATTTATTCCAGGTTGGACGCGTTCCGGATTATCCAAAATCCAGTGACTACTGAGGCTGCCATGAAGAAGATTGAAGACAACGACACCCTTGTCTTCATCGTTGATCGTAGAGCCAACAAGCCAGCTATCAAAGCGGCCGTTCAGTCACTGTATAATATTAAGGTGGCCAAGGTTAACACCCTGAACTGCCCCAAGAATGTGAAAAAGGCCTATGTGAAGCTGCCGCCAGATTTCGATGCACTGGATGTCGCTAACAGGATCGGCATCATATAAGCTGTGAATAAATATTTGGTACTGCGTATCGGTTTTCTGCGTCTGTCTTCACGATCATCCTGAAGAAGATCAAACATCGCGTAGTCCCTATCGTTGAACTTCCGGCCGTTAGTATGTATAGCCCTATTTGACAGCCTGTTGCCGCATAGGCTGTAGTTCAGGTTTATCTACTAGCTGCCTGGTCTGAATGTAGACGCAGTTGCTTTACTACGACTGATTTGTTACCGGATTTGGCGTGAAGTTGATACGTTTGTTGCAGACCGACCACCGTGGTGATTTTCGGCTCACCGCGTGCATCCATTAAGTGCAGGTGATACTGTGATGCATGGCGTCTTTGATTGTGCCGCTCCCAGATTTCCAGAAGCATTTACCTCTTATCTGATGGACGGATATGGTGGATCGGCAACTAAGATCAGTACAAGAAACCCAAAGGCTTGTTGCCCATTGATCTTCATCTGTGACTGAGTTCGTACCGCTGAATTTCAAGGGTCGTATTTATCAGGTCAATTGTTTGTGAGCTGGCCTAATAACGGAGAATCATTTCACGTGTGCTATGGTGCGAGCCGAACACAAAACCCAGACTTCTCATAATCTCTCCAACCCCTTTGCCAGAATTATTTGGTTCATTTAATGCTGTGGGCATTACCGCGGCTTCAGGTCCAAGAGAAACTGTTGTTTGCGTACTCTGTCTTTGAGCGAACCGTCAGGAAATACGTCGACTCCACAGGTATCAGAGGTTGGTAGTGAGTCTCCCATAATCTCCAAACACAAGGTTGGGGAGGAAAAGTGAAACAGGACAGCCTTGCTCGAAACTACTTGATGTGACGATCTCAGGTGAAGTTTTCCGTGATCACACGTCCGCGGGAGTTGGCGTACAGCGCCTTATGGAGGGTCAAGCATAAATGTTCCACAGACTGCAATAGTGCCTAAGGGTCCGAGTCAAAGACAACTTTCAAGTGAAAGAAGTCAACACTCGGTCGTCGAATGCAGTGTCGCTGTCCAAGGATGTTTCGGAGGGTGAAAATATGGTCAGTGCATCGTTATCCCTGACGAAACGCAGCTTGGTTTTCAAGGCTGTCTTTACCTGTGTTGTCAACCTTCGAAGGATAAAACCAGGAAGCAACGTTGATACCAAAACCACCAGGCTGATACCACGGTGGTTTTCATACAGCATCCGTGTACCCTATCGAAGATACGAATAACTCAATCTGCAGATACTTTCTCCCCCATGTCGCACTAATGAGGTTTGTCACACGGGTCACCAGGGATCATCCGCCTTTTTTGATGGGGCTGGGTGCAGAGCATCTGGTCTGGCGCCTTTCGTTTCAGTACGGATATTTCGTACCTTATTTCTTCCGAAGAATAGTCAAGGTTCAGCCTAAACAGTCGGGTTATAATTGCGAGTGGATTACCTGGTCATGTTTTTCACTTATCGTCCCACTGACCGTTAATTCTTGAGGGCTAGTCAATCGTATCAGCTGCTATAGGTTGTTTCTGGTAGCAAAAGCCTTCTCCGTCTGTCGAGCTTTTGACGTCCAGCAGACCTCTGTCTCTCCTTAGGCTCTTCATTTGACGTTTGAAGGATTCGCGTATGCCGTCGTACTCGTTGCCTTCTGGTATGGCTTTTTTAGCACCAGTCATGGATAGCGATCTCGACGATATCTAGTGGTCATTTGGTTATATCGGGGAAGTCAGACAGAGCACTGAACGCCGCCAGCCTAGCTTCTTTTACACTACCATGTTTTGTCCACGTGCTCACTACCTCAGTATTGGTTTACTGTGATGGATTGTTGAGCGGTTGTGATAAGGGAGACCAAGTGAATTGTTCCTTGAAGTGCTCAGTCCATCGATTAATCCGACGATTGAGGGAGTGAACTGCCATTCCATCTTTTTCACACCTCACTGATACCTGACTTTTGACTGGTTGATCGAATCAGATGAAATGGGGCTCGGCTGTTGCCTTCAGCGAAAGCCTTCTCCATCTCCTGGGTGTTCGAAATCCAGCAACGTTCTCTGTCATTCTTCCAATTGTCCGTTTTCTTCCGAGGGATCTGCGTGCACCATCACAGTAGCTAGCTGCCGGTATGGCCTTTCTGGTAGCAATGAGATCTGCTGATCTCGACGGTATCCATTTAATCGAGTCACACAGCCTGGACAAACAGTTTTGAAGCTGAAAGCATAGCCTGTTTAAACTCGCCTCCAGTCCATTGTCCTCATCCGCGTTACTTAGCGTTTCACATAGCTTTCTGGCCAGATCAGCTGGATACTATTGAGCTATTGAAGCTTCTCGAATTTGGTGAATGGAACTGCGCTTCTCTGGCGCACGTAAAAAAACGTAAAAAACGTGCTTGCGCAATGGCACGATCAAGTTGTCTACCCCAGAAGGAGCGACGGTTCTTAACTGAGGCTCTCTATCGGTAACTGATAGCCAGATAGTCCATTTGAGTTAATGGCTGTTTGGTGGGGGCTAGATGGCTTAGTGGTTAGACTGAATTTACTAGCTGGAAGGTCCGTGGTTCGAACTCTGCCTCTCGATTTCCCCTTTCTAGGCTTGGGCAACACGGCAGTATCCCAACCATCGTGCTTCCTTCTAGTGACATGACAGTTAGGCACCGAAAGTGTGCTACAGCTGAACGATTTTTTATGTGGTTGGTGGCCTCCAAGCTACACAATGCAAGCGTTCGTGCCGAAAATTTGTACACAAATGAAGCAGTCGCTTCCTATTATCCGTACTCTGAGCATTGACTGCAAATCCACCACGTAATTGTGGTTCTTCCGGACTTATCTGTTCTGCTTGGGCATTCATGCCACCCGCTAGGATTACTATATCCGTCCTTCTTGCTGATTGAAATAGCCGCGACAAACCTTGATAAAACCTTTCCTCTTCAGTTCCAGAACTGCAGTCTTTTGGGGTGTATGCTGATATGACAGGTGAACACCATCTATGCAGTAGCCGCTTCGATGTGTTAGTGAGTTTGAACGCTTGCATGTCTGTTCTTCAATACATCAGAGACCTGTTTGTCGGTTGACCGGACATGCTTACCCGTTACAAGGCGCACCTGTTTGGACGCGTGTACTCAATACACCCGTGTCCTTACCCACGTGTTTTCTGACTTGAACTTGCAATAGTTCACCGCATCGGTCTGCATTTATCTTAAGTGAGTCAGACGAATGAACGGCGCAGAGACATCTGTTTACTGGAAAGCAGTTCACTAAGTCGCTTTCAGCCTTGCGGCTGAGTGCAACTCCAACACTGTGTACATCATGAGCCATTGCGTCAGAATCACCGGATACCCGAAGAGTGAAGTGTGGAACATCTGAGCTCATCCGAAGCGGCGTTGGGTGCACGACCGAAGTGGGGGTCTTGTATGTGTGTTCCGGAGACAAACATTGACAAACGGGAAGCAAGGTTTCATTAAAAGATGTCTGTTACCCGATTTGACATAGAGCACGCACATTGAAAACTGCGGCATGGATCAGTTCTTTTCAGCTTAGTAAGTATTTTGGTTTGTTTATCTGGGCGGATATTTAGACACGGAACATTGGTTAGGGGAGTGGCAGATGGGCTGATTGCACTGCATCGTTCGACGGGTGGAAGCGGTGTAGCGGAAGGCCGATGAGCAAGGAGCGGCAAGGGCGAGTGATACCACCCCCCGGTTGCCGAATCCGAAGAATTGTGTTTAGTTGAGGTACCCCACCTTGAGCCTTTGACCTAAATGCCTGACCCGCAAGACAGTGGAAGGATCCTGGGTTTTTTTTCGGGAACCCTATCCCTAGTCTTTGAATCTAAAGTCTGAGCCCCGAGGCAGCAGGTGTCTTCTTGGGGAATTGTTCCCGGAGCCAATGACTCAATAGTTTGCCCCACTTGCCTTCAGGGGCCGGCTTGGCCTGAGGACACAGGGAGTAAGGTGTTACTGTTCCACACCTCATGCATCCGCGCACAAGTGTATTTTGGGCACTTTGGTTTTAAAATTATGGCGGCCGTTTGCACCGGTGGTCACCGTCAACCCTTAGGCGGTCGAAGTGTGCGGCTTCTTGGGCAGGTCTTTATTAACCGTCCTTCCTCGGGGGTTGACAGCGTGGCTTTCGTGAGTGTGGGCACGGTCGCCTGGGGAAAACGCTTTTTTTTCTCACACTCCTATTGACAGCGTGGCTTTCGTGAGTGTGGGCACGGTCGCCTGGGGAAAACGCCTTATTGTCTTCACACTCCTATCACAGATGGTGGTGCTACTTTACCTCCACACAGCGTGGTGATAGGATTACTCGCAGTACATTGACTGGCTGTTCTTCATCGGGCTGCTACCTGTTGGCCTTCCTGGCATGACTGAATCTTTAGCGACAGTTCCAGCCAGAATAACCCGCAGGACCATTGCAGCACAAAAGCGCAACCACCACGATAAGGTGGCAGATTTAGGTCACGATATATAATCTAAGTAGTTTGTAGCTCGTTGACAAGTTCTACCGAACTAACACTACCAACGCGTGTCTTGTTTACCAACTCAGATGTTTCACGCTACTGTGAGGAGGCTGCAACCAATCCTGAATACTTTCCAGTACGAGCTAACAGTTTAGTCACAAGGTAGATTTTGATTACATCAAACAACTGTTCCCTTCAATGTGATAGACTCGTGATCTCTCGATTATGGTCGCTTTTCTGGCGCGAACTGCGATCGTATACTAAACGGGTAAGAATCTTAGAGGGTTCCGAATATGAGTAATCAAATAATTTCTGGCGTGCACTCGGTATCACTGCATTGTTCCAGCTCAAAAGCATTCTTTTAGTTTCCTTATTACTTGGGGTGCGCATTCGGCAGCTACTTCAGTTTCTCCTAAGGCTTCTTGTCCTCTCCAGGACACCGTATGAGATATGTACCATCTGCACTACGGGGTACCTGCATTACTCTTCGCCAAACGTTTTAGCGACCCTTGAAGCGATGTGCTGCGGCGCAATACAAGCCGTACGTGTGCCGCTTGGTTATAGACTTGCGGTTTGCAAGATTATATCATCACACTTTTATGGTTGGTGCACCGGGCCGCGTCACGGGGTATAGCTTGCAACCTTGGAGACTGCTGGTGCTCTTGGTAAAGCTTCAGGACTAGTCCGACTTTTAAGGAACCTTTGGTTAGATGTTTTATACCCAACCGGGGGTAGAGACAAGCCAGAAGTACTGTATGCCAAGTTCCGCTGTACATATGGTTCGGGGTGTGATAAGCTATAATGTGGGCACTACTCTAAAGCGGTTGAGAAATGTTGAGAAATCTTGATATGGACAACAGACGTTCAGGAAAATCGTAATGGAAGGTATCACTAAGGAATCCGTCCTGAAACAACCTGTCGGGATTCGCGAATTCATATTCGAGGTCTCC